TGTCTTCCTAGTTGGTGACTTCAATGCTCCCATGCGTTGTATCATATTCACTCAATTTTATAGCTCTTTGAATTCTTCTGCTTCTGAAGATATTGACAATAGTCAATGATCTAGACTCTCTTCCGATTTATCTACAAACTCTTTGACATAACAAATATTTAATTTTTGGTACCATTTGTAAATTGAGAGTCCATGTTTGAGATCAAATAGATAGAAAAGACATGGCGACAAACTAACGAACTATCATGGTGAAAAGTGTTTTTGCAAAGTTGTTTTGGAAGTTGTTGGAATCAAAGTTGAATATATGTACAGAGTGTTTTCAGAAGAGATCAAGAGGTCAAGCTGGTTTTTGCCTAACATACAACGTTGTCGATCATATTGTGGTTCTACGTGTTTTATGCAAGGTAAAGCTCTATTTTGTGCCTTCATAGATTTCAAGAAAGCTTTTGACATAGTGTCTCGCAAGCTTTTATGGGAAAAGTTACAAGACATATGAGTACCGTCTAATCTCTTGGGAGCAATGACCACGTTGCACAGGATATGTTTATGCTTGTTTACTGTCAACAAGGATATCTTCTTGCTAGGATTTCAACTCTTTTATGTCATATTATTGCACGACATAGAACGGGATCTCACATTTTACATATTGAAGAAGGATGATGGCATCACATTGATAGAAGTGAATGTTTCTGCACTGTATGTGAGAGCAGAAATATAGAGTTAGAAAAGCATGTGTTTCTTACTTGTTCTAGTTATATTAGATCAAAGTAAACGAAGGTTTGAATAGTATCAAAAGTTTGAAACTGCTAGAAGTGTCACGTTAGAAGCATGAGATTGATTGAATTGGAACCTAATAAATCTTATATAGACTAACAAAATGATAAGAAGATTTTGATATGTTATGACCATTCAATCAAGTTTTGGATAACTATACTAGGTTTTCGTGTAATAAAAAACAGAGGAAGTTTTATTAAATTATGACTAAATTCATTTATTAAATTATATACACTCACATATGTTTGCTTTTGTACTATTAATGAATTATCACTGAAGAAGGTTATAATTGCAATTCATTGTCCTCATGCGATATTAAATGGGAGATTGCAAATATATCCAGAGAATAGAAGTAACGTACAAATAGTTTGTGGAAGTCTAAGTCAACGCGAGATTAGCTCGATCAGGGATGGTGGATCTTGAGTGTTAGCGATGCGGATTTGACGAGGCATTGTTGGTTCACATCTTGTACAAATGTCCTAGCGCGCACAAAGTACGGAGCCCATGGCCATACGTCTATATCTGTCGGTATGGAGCAAGGCAATACATAGACGATAGAGTAATCTGGAAGGGGACGCGGATGGCTGCGCAATTTGTGGTCGCCTCCCTCACAAACGCGATATGGTCTGACTGCAATAAGAGGTTGGTCGTTCGAGGACCCAAGGCAGACAACCTCGATGTTTTCCATCCTTCACACGGCATTAAAGGCTCAAAATGAGCATATTGGAACACCGAAAGAAGACTCCAAGGTTGACATTTATCAACCTTAGGAATGCAGCAGCGAGACTTCAAAAGACATGCAACAGGCAGTCGACTTTGAGTGAGAGAATGCCCAACTTGAGCACGTCGGAACGACAGGGGAGGGAGCAAGATAACACTCACCGGGATCGGGCTACCTCGAATACTGCCGACTCGGATGAAGCTGGGACCGAAAAAGACGACATTGCAAGGCATGTTAGTGGTCAACAGCGGTGAAATTTAATTTACTTCTCAGAATCAATGTACAGTATCGACACTGGGTCCAGAGTCAGTGGATCGATATTTGTAAAGCAGACCAGACTTCTGTACTTACCATTGTGGGCCATGCGACCTCGGGAATGGAGAAGGAAGTGGTCGGGGGAGAATTCATGTTACGGGACGAAGAAAGAGAGAGAAGTGCACCACTCAGACTGGGACCCACCCTCCAAGGCATGCCATGCCCAGATGAAGGAATAGCTTCGACGTGGACGATGTGGGACATCAGATTACTCAGGACAGCTGCCCAAAATTCCTTCGTTTTTGGCTCTCGTTCGACTACACTCCTGAGGGTCTGTTTTTGGTTTATGCCCCATGTCGGGTCTCGGTCAGCATCATGTAGCGTAGCATATCTGCTCTTATGAGCTCGCACTATCTAAGTCTATTTTCAAGTTTATTAAGTCGCGGGCTAAGTGAGCGTTTAGCCCAAAAAAAGGGAAAAGCCTCAGAACTGTCTGAAGAGTGTAGAACCACATCTCGGCTCACTCAGCTCACCCCATTGACTTTCTCCATGAGCCACTCTTGCGGATCTACCCCACTCAGCTGAGCGGCTGCCGAAGTGGACTCCGAGAGCAGGGCAATTATCCGAGAATTAACGGAACCATGCATGTCAGCTTGGATCGCGCAACCTTCTGGCTCGGAGTAGCCTAGCCAGACGCTGCGCAGGGATTTCTGAAGCATTTTGAGAGGCCGTGAGAGAAGACTTGGTTCAATCCTGTGAGGAGTGAGAATCGCCGACTGGTCTGGTCAGTTTTACCGATGGGCGCTTACAGCAGCTCGCTATGTCGAACCTGGCCGGTGGAGAGTTGGTGGGAGGGAATGTTGCTCCGTATGAGGTGAGGCCACCTGCCACAATCGGCCCGACGAGACCTCGACAATCTCCTTTTGCCAGGACGTAATTGTACTGCCAAGTACTGTAGAATGGAGCAGATAGATACGCTCCTGCTGAGCCTTATCTCCCGCATGCCTCTCGTATGTTCATCAGACTTATCAGCCCATACGTGAACAGACTCGATCCATATAAGCTGGCCTTCCCATCATAGCTCGTCGAACTCCTCCTCACGAGCGCGCTGATAAGCGGCCAGCACTTTGTGTCAGCTGTGATCGAGATTTGTAACGTGAAAGCGATGTCACAGGAAAGCGCATTTCCCAACGTACGAAGCAGAAGGGGTATGATGATGTCCTGACCTTGAAGACGCTGTCGTAAGATTCATCTTGCACATTGAGGTGTAGAGAAGCAACTTGAGCTTTTGTCTACTTCGCTACTCACTTATGCATCAGTAGAAAGCCAGAGCGAAATTATCGTTCTAGGCAAGTCTAATGATCCAGCTTAATGTGGATACATCTACCATGGTCATGCAATATTCTTTTAATTTTAACCATAACTAAGTTGTCCACACCGTGCACATCGAACAATTATGAAGTTGTGCAATTAATCAATCATGTACGTAATAACCATGACATTAGAAAAAAATATTAAGGGGCTAGTTATCCTAATTAACGCTCACTCTAGTATGCGCAATTTTCTTTTTGGTCGATGCAGGGTAATAGAGATGCAATAGCAACTACGAGGTGTTCGACCCATCAGATAAACCGAATACTAGGGTGAAAGTTAATTAAATAAGTGAGAGATAACTAGCGCCTTCCAAAAAGATTGGTATGAAATAATCTTATCAAAATATAATATACTCATGTGGCATATGGTATATTAACGTATTGTCATTCCAATTATATCACAAGGTTATTACTTCATGTACATTCTGCTCATGTTCCATGTCATTTGATGTTTAAAGATGACATCTTTAGATCAGAAAAATTAAAATGTCTGACATAAGATTTTGCAATGAAACAAAATCATTCTTTTGATTTGGTATGGATATTTTTACTATTTTGCTCCTATAGGCTCTTTGTTGTACTCTTTAGTTGTGACTTTATATTTGTATATCTCCTAGATATATGTTAGGCATGTGGATGACTATCATCCAGTTCCTTAATATATACTATTTTATTATACCATAGAAATATCTTTTGTCTAACGTAGGACATTAAATGCAATCATTTCCCACTTTATCCACGGACCGCACTATTTTAGCAATGATGCATGCTAGTAAGCACTGGCTTGACTTTGCATTAGGCCTTTGAACTTACTATATTGTTTAACAGATCAAGGTCATGCTGTAGCTTGGATAAGTATCTCCTTTACTTAGTTGCAAGGGTTATAGTATCTTAGATGCGACAGAGGTACATGTAACTTGTTGATTATTTTAAAGAACCAAGTAAAAGTATTTTTCAATGGTGGATGTGGTGTTTGTTGTGGCACAAGATGTGGATACCTGGTCAATATTTGTATACTTTCTAATCGACTCGATTGTGTATATTTTTTCTCGGTTTGATAATACAATGGCAATGCTTCACACTTTGTAATTATATGATCAGTGAAATACCTCAATCATCTTACCAATGATATCGTTTTAGAGATAGGGAATACCCATCCTCAAGGACCGATTGAAAGCTAACAATTAAAAGCTACCTATGAAAGTATAATACATGTCTTTGATTCTTTATCCTAAACCCACAAAAATCGAGAAAATCACATGTTTGTTACATATTAACCTTACACGTATGGATATATCAACTTTCACAGCTTGGTGAAAATTGTCCAACAGATTACCTCGCACGTTATATATCATGGGGGGCAGCACACTTTATACATGGAATGTTGTAGTTTCAGAAAAGGCATGCTTTCCTATGAGTAGAGCACACAGTGTTGTAACTCTTGTGAACACATCTGTGGTACTCCACAATTATTTCAAATGAAAGAATCTGATTTCCACATTAATGATTTCTCCTCTTAAGTGCAATTTTCTCATCTCCCATCATCATGCGATCAGGACATGAACGATATATTCTAGTCACGTTAAATACCATGCTCATCGTGGCCTTGCTTTTGTGATTCCTCGTTCCTCTTAAGCCGGGTAATGACGAATGCACGTTAAGACATAACCTCGTGGGTTCTTGCAGCACGAGGGGTTTCTCCCGGCTCCAATCCCCATGCACATGGAGACTCTTCCTCCCGTCATTTCCTCACACTTCATCTTTAATCCAAGAGTTCAAAGGGTTCATACAATCGCGACATTCAGAAATTCAGAAATCGTAGAAAAGCAGAGGACGGAGGCAAATTACTCGTGAATTGGAGAAACCCCATGATTTGCTTCCAGCTCCTGAGAGAGGGGTGGGGCAAGAGAATAAAACGGCCCCAACCTCTGAAATGAATTCAATTCGAGAGAAGGCATAAACAAGAGATGCGCGGCATGCGAACAACACACCCACAAATGTTGACTAAACTTTACATTATTGGCTGCAGCTTTATTGACGAGACGCATGTACGCCTCCCCCGCGCGGCTTAAAAAATTCAGCGAGCAGGCGCAAGATGCTACGGGCACATCACACCCCCTTCCATTCGTCCTCGGACGCCAGAGCCCAGAACCCATTCCTCGTCTCCCCTCGTTCGCATCTCGGCACCGACCGAGCGACCGACCGACGGTTCGTCGCTTTGACCGCCCGCCCGGTTGTCAGGCCCGAGTACGGTACAGTATGTGGCTCTGGGTCCATCGTCGCCGGAGCACTTTCCTGATCGTTGAGGCTCTGTGCGTTATACGGCGGGAGGAGCGGGGCCGGGGGGCCGTTCTGAAGCCGCGAGCGCCCCCCACCTGACAAGTAATTTGTCGTTTTCGTCTTTACGTGCTTCTTGCGAAAGAGCAGACGTGGTGCGCACGAGACACACCGGCGTCAGGTCAAACCGATGCTCGTACCCCCCCGCTCCTCCTCCCCAACTCCTCGTTCGTTCCGGTCGTTTGGATTCCCGCAACACAAGAGGCTCGAGGGGACACAGTGCCCGGCCGTGTCTGCGTGTCTGCGTCTGTGTACGGGCGGAGACCGGACAGCTGCTCATGATTTCCTGCTCCTCCTGCGTCACATATGCTCGCGTAGCCTCGTCGTCGTCGATCCTTCAGACGCGTATGCTAAATAATTTAATTTACAAAGATGAACACCTCGTGGAGCCCGTAACCTAACGAGAGCACTCCAGCTCACTGCGCTAAAGAATGCCGGGACAGAGCTGCACGACCGAGGCCGAGGCCTGCGGTGGGTGTGCCTGGCTCCTGTCGAAGAAGAAAAGAGGAAGGTCGAAATTCAATCGGGGATACGGCGCTCGTCCAGGGCTGCCTCGAAGCGCCGAGTCGATTCGATGCGCACTTCGGTGCTCGTCTCGTACTCCGGCGCGGGGTAGTAATCCCAGCGCAGTTGACAGTCGCGCAGACTGCGGCAGCCTCCGATCATGGACAGAAAGTGCTCGTGCATTGAGCCGTGGACGATCAGGCGCCGCAGATGCGGGCACTGCGACAAGACGCCGGCGGCAGGAAGAGAAATGCCGCGATTGTTCAAGTCCTTGTCGCTGGGCGGCCTGTAATCAAGATCGCGCAGCGCGAGCTGGTCCATGCCGCCCAGAAAGTAGCGCTCCCACACCTGCAGGTCCACCATGCCTTCCGGGGCGCTCATGGAAAAGCTGACCACCTCGCTCAGATCGAAGGTCAGCTTCTTGAAGTTGGGGTAGCGCCCCAGCGATGCCAGCCCCCAGTGGTCGGCCGAGGCCGGCTTCTTCAGAGGTTTGCAGTCGCCCTCGACTTTGATCAGCATCTCTGTCAGCGCCGGACATCGCCCCAGCCCCATGGACGCGAGCGGTGAGATCAGCACCCCGACGCCCACCCAGAGCGACACAAACTGCAGCCGCGGCCACACTTTCTCGTCGGGCGCTTCGTCCTCCTGTCCTCGCGCGGCATTGTCGCATCCCGAATGTCCATTGCTATGGCTCATGCTCTTGCTGCTGCTCGATGCATCCCACCCCAACCCCAGCCCCAACCCCAGCCCCGTCGTCTCCGCCACCGCGAGCGAGGTGTCGGAGGATGTCCCGATCTGCGAAGCTGCCAATTTGCTGCTCTTGCGTCCCACGTCCCAAAAATCCAAAAATCCGCGCTTCTCCATTTCGCAGCGCAGTCGATCTTCGTCCGCGTATTTGCGAGGCATGTGAGGCTGCACGGGCGTGGACGAGAGCTTCGCCTGCAGGGCGACCACCTCGACGTCCCAGACGCAGTCGAGGTGCAGCCGCTGGATCGAATTCCGAATGGGCTCGAGAGCTCTCAGAGTTTCGAGCGCCGGTAGCAGCCGACAGCAGAAAATCTCCACATCGATCAGAGTCTTCGAGAGCGAGCTCACGCACTCCCTCACGCCTTCTTCTGTGATGCCTCTGCACCCTCTGAGACACAGCTTCTTCAGCCTCTTGCAGCCCCTCCCGATGGCTGCCAAGCTCGAATCCGACAGATCTACGCTATTCTTAATGGTGAGCTCTGTCAATCTCGAGCCCGCTGCGATTCCGTCCTCCTGTGGCCCAAACCACAGTCCGTGAAACTGGCTCAGCTGCAACGAAGTGAGCTTCGTGCAGTGATTGAACAGTTGCTCGAGAGCAGGCCCCGAGTTTCTTGCGTTTTGGCCCAGAATGAGCGCCAAGCCTTCGAGGTGAGGCAGTGATTTGAACATCGTCCCTAGGCCCTGTCTAGTCACATTGGCGTCCTCCTCGGCAAAATCATCGTTCAGATCGCTTCTCAGAGCTCCCCATTCGCTGCTGTCCACGAGGTGCAGTACCCGCAAACGCGGGCAATTGGTCCCTAACGTAGCGAGAGCTTGGTCTCCGACCGAATCCAAATATCTAGGGTCAAATTGGCAAAGTATAAACAGCTGCTCCAAATTTTTACAAGCTAAGGTGATGGCTGTGATTTCTGTCGTCTTAAAGCCCTCGGGTGAGATTTTCAAAAGGTCCAAGTACAGAAGGTTCGCTGCAGTCGCAGTTTCGGTCTCGAGAGCGGGAGGGATATCCTCGGTCCAACAGTAAAATTGCGAGAGATCGAGTTTTCTCAGCTTCTGGCACTTGAGCAGGCACTCCACTTCGGTGCCGATTTCCATGCCCGATCCTGGCTCCATGGCGCGCTGATGCCACCTGACAAGCCTCAGCGACTCGACTTCTGGCCATAGCCATGCCACCATCTGAATGTCCACTGCGTCTCGAACATATATCGCCACATCTTTGACCTTGGGAAAAGCCTCGCGCAGCAACTGGCCCACCATCTCTCCTCCCGTCGAAGTCGACTGGAACACTGAGTACCCCCAAGGCGAGCAGCACGACAGATCCAGCTGCGTGATGTTTCTGAACGAGTGCGGTAGCGACATCAGATTGCACACATTGCCCCTCAGCATGAGCGACGAGCGCGTCTGCCTCTCCAAGAGGTACCAGTCCCGGCACGCGAGGGCCATGTTGTTCCGAGTTCGGGGATCCGAAACCAACGAGAAAATGCTGGTCAGCACAGCCCCCGGCAGGTCGCTGATTTGCGTCTGCCGAACTCTGCCCATCCCTCTCGACACACCTGTGCTGCTTGGGAAGGCGGTCCCTTCACCGCCGGCGATTCTCGTCGGCCATTTCATCGAAACAGGCTGTCCCGTGCCCGCTCGACCAGCTCATGTACGAGCTCGCAGATTCGACCCTCTAAGTTTCTGCCAATACCCGCTTCGGGATCGTCACATTTACAACCTCACTCGCGCACCTGCTGCTCTAGCTCGACGCAAAGGAGCCGAGCGAGAATGTCGGGAGGAAAAACATCGCACCGCCTGCAGAACGACAGACAGAACGTGCTGCGCACAAGGATGGCAGGCAGTGCTGCACTCCTCGGTTCTGCTCCTCGCCTCACTTGCGCTCTCACATTCTCGTGCGGGAAGCAGACATGGACCTACGGTACTCGAGTAGCTGACAGCAGACTCGAGACGCACGAAAGCGACCGCCTGGCAGGGAGCCAAGACAAAAGACGAGAAGGCGCACCGGTACAAACGAACGCAGTGGGTGAGTGCAGCAGCAGCAGCAGCAGCGCGAGACTCATCGGATTCAGGCCGACACCGCTCTCTCTCATAACCCCCTCCCCACCCCGCACCGCAGCAGATGCCTTATCTCTCTCTCTCTCTCTCTCTCTACTGCCAGTGGGACTACTGCACCGAATGGCTCCGCGCATCAACGACGACTGTGCAAATATTCCCTATTCCATTCCAACCCTGGAGCACCTCCCGCTGCGCCTCTCGTGTCATCATAGAAAGCAGGGCAGCAGAAATGCCTCTCGGCAGAAAAGGAGGAAGGATGCGAATGTGATTTTGGAGGGCGGAACCGCGAGCTACAGTCATTCCCCGTCATGACTCGCAGCTTTGGTTTTCGTAATCCGCATCTGCATCCGAGTCTGTACCATCGGTCGCTCGCTCGCCGCCGACTCGCCAGTGCCAATGGAATGCCAGAGCGCATCAATGCCTCCACCACCACCGCGCCCTCGCTCTTCGGGTCCGTCCCTGCCTCCGAAGTCCGGTCGAGTCCTCCTGTGGAGGGACGGCGAGACCTCTTATTCCGGCAGCTTCGTTCGGACAGCGACCCTTGCCCTTGATGGGACACGGCGCATACGTCTACGTACTGTAGAGTACGTTCTCTCTGGGGAAAGCTGCACATCATGCTCACGAATCATGACCATCACCGCGATGTCATCGTATGTCCTGGGCTGGACAAGGAAAATGACACGTCGACGAGATTGTACATGGCCATTAACAACCGCCTCGCCTAGCTGGATTTCCGTCACGTGAATACCTATCCGGCCTTCTCTGTCAACCCGGGTTGACAGAGAAGGCCCTGTCAGTGCCATGCGTAAGTCGACCTGCGTCACGCTCGGACCTTCCCGCTCCGATGCTCTATGCGAGCCTTTCCCTTCTTTCCCTTTTCTAACTGCTCTTGCCTGTGCGCTTTGCAACGACCAGTGCTCCCATTCCATTCTTATATGAGTTTAGGTTCCGATGAGCCCATCATGCTCCATCAATTCTAAACCTGAATTTTGATGTACAGAAACCAAGCGCGCAATGGCTTATTGACTAAACCCAATTTTCAATTCCAAAATGTCCGTAGCATCGCCTCAAAACCTACAGTCACCAACCATTTTATGTTGGACACAGCTAGTAAACCCTCGTAATAACATCGTGGTTAATAGCCTATCAAGCCTTCCAACAAATTAGGTTAAGAGAATCAAATAAAATCTCTCCATGAAATATTATGTTGACTTAGTTTCATGTAGACTAAGATTATGTATTGCTGATTTTTTTATTTGATTACATATGTTTGTTTGTCTACACTATTCGATAGTTGTGTCTGAATAAATTTTGATTTCAAATGATATCTTTGATTTCCAACATATAATATATAAAGGGAGTGGCTAGTAATTTTCATTCATGTTACAAAAATTATATAAATTGCTTTAAAAGTGAGATCTTTGATTGGATTGGATCTCATTTCAAAATGAACACACACTCTCTCTCTCTAGAGTTCTCTCACATAACATTGCACGGTATGCTATCAATAGTGCAATGTTTTGCGTTGAGTCAGGCTATGCCGTCTACATTAAACGCATACTCATGATTGATAACAAGAAAGATGGAGCTATCCAGGCACCCGATCTTGTGTGTTTCCACTAGAACAAACCGATTGTTTATAAAGTTTATGCTGGCACAACACACCCAACCATAGCATTTGCTGTGAATTCAAAGCAAAGATACAACTTTAAAGATTTATATAATTTTTGTAGGCTGAGTGATAATTAGCATAACTTGAAGTATAACTAACCACTTCCTATATAAATTATCAAGATCAAAAATTGAACAAAATTAAGAAAGCTAATATGCTACATCATCTAAGATAAAGATCAATATTTTTCTTAGATTCATCAATCTAACACAAAAATCTAATGGCTAAAAAAAGATATATTGATGCAAGTTACGTAGCCTATGCATGAAAATTATATTTTTTAAAACTATTTTATTTAGTAAAAAATGTGTAGTTCAAAAAACTTTTGAGTGCAGTAAGAGTGATAAATAAGTTCATCAAATTCAAATCTAGATTTTATGCCATAGAATTGAACAAAGTAAATTATTTGTGAAGCAACTAGGACTGAATCAAGTCTTGATGTCATCTAGGATGTTAGTGAATATTTGTAATGAAAAAGTAGATAAAAATTGATGTATGCATGAAAGCAAATGACATGTTACATTATAGAAAATTCATCAAAGTTCAAAACATTTATTGCCTATAGCGTATGGTTTTCACTATGTAGCATATTTTTGGCTAATGTAATGGCTAGATAATATTATAGACACAATTATCATCTTTTATATATAAACATGTAATAATTGTTGCATTGTACAATTTCTACAATGAACTTATATTTCAAGTAATGAAATATTTGTTTTATATGATCTACATGGCCTTTCAATATATAAGAAGAGAAATGCACACAAAATAATGTAATCATATTGATGAGCATATTTTTATTTTAAAAACAATTTTCAGCATAGTGGCAAACACTGATTATCTGAATATGAAAATATATTTTTAATAGAAGCAAGAAGAAAGAAGTAGGAAAAAATGGCACAAATTTAATTGAAAATTTAATTGGTTGCAACAATCTTACAATTCATAAATCTTTAAAAAGTGTATGTATTTTTCTAAATTTTATATTCAATATTGCTTACAAACAAAATAAAAAAATAACCTCTTTACTTATCTTAAAAACACAAGGTTTTTTAAAGATACTTCATCTTCCAAGATGAAAAGTTTAATACTTGCAAATAGCCAACATCTCGATAAGTCTAGCTACTAAAAACAACAATGCATATTTATAAAACACATTATATAAATACAAATAGTCATGATGATGAAAAAATCAAATTTTTATAGCCACTTAAAATATTTGACATAATGGAAATGTAAAAAAATAAAATTTGAGTGAGATTTGACTCTAAACTTGTGTGATTGGAATAGATTATTTTAAAAAAATTTGTGTAACCTCATTATATATATATATATATATATATATATACATAATGTTCTAGCTCTTTTAGTCCATCTAGATTGATTTTTCTTGTAATATCATAGCCCAACGGAATAGACAATGTTATTGAAATAACAAAAAACTATGCTGCGAACTTGGGATGATTACTCAAAGTAACATAACATAAAAACATCAATCATAAGACTTTAAAACAAAACATATACGTTTCAGATAAGCAACATTGATATCAAATGCATTGGTGGATGAATTACAAGAAAAAAATTAACTTTCACAATAATTAAGATGAGTGAAAAATACAACAGAATTGTTTTGATGCTTTTATATAAATTACAGAAAATCTTAATTTGTAACTCTGTGAACTAACATTGAAAGTCAGAAATTAACATTAATATTCATGAACTAGAGGTATCAAATAGATGTAATTTAAAACATTTATAATGAAGAAAAAATAACAGTAAAAATTAAAAATTTTAATATAAAATTTGTAATTTGCAATTTTTTCCATTTTATTTACCAAAAAAATCATCAAATTTCTGCAATTTAAATTTAATATAAAAAAACTGAAATATTCTGGAAGTTAGATCTATATAATAAGATATATAAATAAGATGCAAGCCATAAAAAACTAGAAATATAAAAATTTTATATCAATAATTTTTTTTAACTATTGAAGCTTAAATTTAAAGCAATATTAATTATTTGAATCTATAATCTAATTTTTGAAAATAACTGATGAAATATAAATGTGAGAAAAATTTCCTATTTTATTTCAAAAAAACCAATTAAGAAAAAAAGCAATCAAAAAAATTCAAATGTATGAATAACCATCAAACCTTTTTTCTACACATTTGGATACAAATTTCTTCAAAAATCCAATGTTTTTATATAAATTAAACGGGAATTATAAATATTAAAAATTCTAAGTTGATCTTAAATCTCTTAACTATTAGGAAAAAAATTGATATTTGATAATTTTTGAAATTATATTATTTTTAATAAATTAATTCAAAGAAATAATTTTTTATCAAAGAAAAAATTTTAGTTGAGGATGTTAAGAGAACGATATTTGGTAAAATGTGTTTCTTTAAAATTATGTTCAACATAATTTATTTTTATATATTTAGTGCAAATTAAAAATGAAAATGTAAGACATATAAGAGGTTAAAACATGTATTTTAAGATCTAAAATAGTTTAAAAAAATGAATCTTAAATATTCTATTTGCTGTCTCATTTTATTAAGAGTATTCATTTCAGTTTATAATTTGAACCTAAAAATATTTTTTCCAATATGAAATTTATTTTAACATTAAATTTTTATTAAATTGTACTAAATTTCACCGCAATTTATATATTATAAAATATTTTTCAGTCATGGGTCTTTGTATAATCTTCTAACGTTCAGACAGACCCTTTTTCAATAAAAATCCATTCAAGAAGCATGAAGTACACCGTTGTTGAACTCCTAGAATTTGACATGAGAGTTTGACATATTTGTCAGTAAGTGAGAGTGAGACAAGTAAGTTAGACGACATATTCCATTTAGGAGAGAGTTGGAAAATGTTATTCATAGGCAAAGAGCTTTTTAAAAAATATATATCATTTAAAAAATAAATTATAAATCAAAGATTAAAAAAATTTAGGTGTTACATGACATATATAATTCTGTGAAATTGTTTGCACTTTAAAAAAATTAGCATGTTCATTTTACATGTGCCAAAACTCTCGAAATATCATAATGGCCCCGAGAAAGTGTAACCAAGAGGATGCTACAAGAACCCAAATGAAGTCCAAATTGAGCCGAAATGCTTTCATACAGTTGATGACTTGGCAGCATGTCGGAAACCGAGACAAGTCATGATATCCGGACTTTCCGAACGTAGATTTATGTGGCCAGGGAACCGGGACAACCGGAATTTGAAAGATTCTCGAACGAGACTGCTTAATTTTGGCAGCGGCAAACTATGGGCGGCCATAATTTCAAAATGGCAGAATGTTGCAAATTTTCAGTATATAGTGACGAACAAGTTGCTGGATTCAAGTGGCAGGTTTTACGGCATGTCCTACGCACTCCCTCCCATCCGGAGTCATAACACAATAATCTCGTCGGATTTGGTGTGGATTTGCCACAATTCACTCCAACAAAATGTGCATCCTTACCCATGTCTTACTCTACTACAGGGATGGCAGCAATGAACAGAGAACGATATAAAGCAGTACGTATATATGCAGCTCACTGACTTAAGCCCTGAATACAACTCATGAAGAAGGTTGACATTGAGCAAGTGCAATACTTGTGGAAAGAAATTAACACAACAAATGATTTAGGTAATGCCACTCTTGTTACTTGTATCATGAAAAGGTTTTTTTTTGCAATAAATTTGACGACCAATCTTTGTCAGCGAGAGTCTACAGTATACTAGCTCGAACACTTCAGCAAAAGATGGGAGATGTAGGAGGTAATAATGCAAGTTGGCCACCAATAGCCAGATCCTATATGGACTACCAATGTTTATAATCGTGGGATTGTACGAGAATTGGAGAACTATAGTTTATGGATCTTGGGCTGGGTTTGAAAATATCTTTCATTTTATATGATCTTCGAAGCCAAGGGCCTTTTGATGGCATTCACCAACGGTACATTCTAGCATAGTTGGTGGTAAATTGGTATATTTTTTGTGTACTATATATATATATATATATATATATATATATACATACAAGAAGTCTACCACAAGTCAACATCCAGACTGTTCCTATCAATACCTGGACAATCAACATATGTGATATAGGAGACTTGTATTATCACGTAGAAATAGATTAGTCAACTAAGCTGTATCCGGATATCCTATGTTCCTTGAGTCCCAAACATATTATAAAACAAGTTAAAGTTTTTATCAGGTCTTGTCCTAATTACCACATCTACAAAATCACAGCTCGGTCAATTTGATCCACGCTGTGAGCAGAGTAGAGTAGGTGTATGAGACCAGAGCTTCACAAGAAGCATCAAAAAAGAATGTCAATGGATCCAGATTTTAACAAGGTATTCTGTAGAAGATATGTTGGAGAAGCTTCTCCAACGAAGGTTCTTTTGAACAGGAAATGCTGAGGGTGATCCAAATGCTTGATGAAGTAATGAACTCCATCCTGGGGAGAGTCGTTTGAGTGGAACTCATACATACTACAAAAGACATGAGCTCTTTGACTTTGAGGCAGACACATGCTCGGATTGGGACCCTGCTGAAGCAAATGTCTTTCGGTCATTTGGCGAACACATGAATATTGTGTATTTGATTTTCAGTCCCATGTACCCTTAGAAAGGGTGCGATGGTAGGAAGAGTTTTAATTCCCTTTTCTGATGGACAGTGATGTCACGAAGTCAAAAGTGGGACACAAGACGACCAGATGTTCTGCATGTGAGCGTCGGGATATGGCCAGTACATCGAGTCACCAGGATTCGATTCGTGCGGATGTGCAAGCAGCCAGCAGATTCAGGGAATCAGGTGCAGCTGAGATTTTGGGAGATCAAGTGCAAATCTCGCCGAGCTTTTGTTGCCAAAACTTGTCGACGCGTTGTGGGGCCCCTCCAGATCCTCATGATCGTTCGGCTCCTCAAGCCTTCTCTACTTTAAAGATCAAATCTGACGCTTCGGCCAGAAGAACATGCTTTGTTGGAAACAGCAGGCTGCTACAAGGAAATCATGGCAGAAGGAGTCCGACTCCATTCCTGGGAAGCGGCTTAACCCTCGTGGGCCTTTCAGGATTGTCAACAACATATGTTTCACTGTTAGCCTCGAATAGTAACCTGATCTTTCTCTCTACGGAACCAAAATTTACCAAACCAGGTACAGGAGTTCATGAGGGTCTCACGGGTTCGTTGTTTATATCTACAAGTATTGTCAACCATGACTACTACAGTCAAAGTGTCGTTTGAAGAGTAGCTCAAGGGTGGCATTTTGACAGCGGGGTTGTTTGTCAGGCTAGAATTTTATATTCCACGCGTCGTTGTTGACAAAGCAGCCACCTTGATGACAAACACCCACAATGTTGGGCATCGACGGTGCAGCAATGCAGGATATGGTGTTTTCTACTGAGGGACGCAGGAACTCGCAGTCGAGACTTGGACACGGTAAATAATTGCACTCACGACATAAGCTTAGACATCAACACAGCCCACGATCGTGTCTGAGATCCCTATCATGTTCCCTGATGTGAGTAGTTTGAAGATGACGAGAATCCCTCATGGAGGGCAGTTCCATGACGTCATTGAACCCCGCGACCATCGCGGATGGGCGAGCGAGCTCCCCAGCATCGCTGGAAGGATTGCACATGTATCCAAATTGCAGGCATCTAGTTTGCCATGCTCCAAGAGCGAAGGAGATTCCAAGATATAATGTAGAACGTTACACAATGTGATTCCTGGCGAGAGCATATCAGTCTAAAGAGCATCAACCTCACAGAGAAGTGAAAGGTCGTTAAGGAGACAGACCTACACTCCGGATGTCATGAGCGTCACATTGTGTGTCGAAGTGCATCGAACACAACGACAAACTGAGATTATCGGCTTTGTTTCAGCTCGATCTGATTGTGCCACGACTCTCTTGCAGCTGCATGACAGACTTGCAAGTCAGAATTGGCAGCAAAGGACATTCACATTCTCAAGATGAGAGAACGCTCTAAGAGCAGTAAAGAGTGAGGTTTCTGGGCGATTGCCACTTCTTGTAACCAGGCGGGCAATTGCAGTGAGTTTGAACTGTACATCTGTATTGTTATTCTGAGAAGCTACCCTGGTCTTGCAAACTGCCCAATTCTATCTTCTTTGCTGCAGCCACAATCTGCCCACTTGTGCTTCGGAAGATTGACATGACAGCGACGTACTGCTGAACTCTTCGGGAGCTTGCGAGGAACACATGCTAAATTCCATGTAAAAATGAGACTTGGCCTGTGAAAGTACCCCATTCAAATCTCCCAATGAAACTTATGGAAATACATGCTACGAAGTTTGGGAGTGACATCAATGTTGATGCACGATGTGCTCAGGAGGATAACTACAGCAGCTGGTTGACGATGTAGCAAGGATGGCAGTGTTGCCATTAAGTGCGATGGCATGCACCTTATTTAAACCTTTTCACAGGATTCTCATCGAGCGAGGATAGTAGTAAACGTGCAAATCGCTCTATGGTAGCGATGAACCTTTTTTCTTTCTAGAATTTATTAAAATAGGTCAGTCAAGAAGAGTACCTTTGAGAAACAGGCACATTACAGATCTTGCTGCAAAAATAAACGGAAAATGGTTACACATGGCAACAAGGGAAATATCTTTCAAGAGAAAAAATCAAATCTTTTAAAAACCGAAGACGCGCTACAATGTTGTGACTCGGACGGAACTGCAATTCACAAACTGGAGCGACAAAATCATGGTCTCGCTTTAATTGCTGAAAGAATTGTATGTACAGTCATACCACTGCCGTTTTACATGGTATTTCAGCATGCTATAGAGTGACGTGAGAACCCAAAATAGCTCATCCATGCGCAAAACTAAAGATTCTGTTGGTGATTCGCAGAGTGACATCACGCTGCTGGAATTCCTGATGGCTAGTATTGAGCCTTGACACAAGTCATAACTGGAACACCAGGTTAGAGGGTCTCTTGTACACTTCGAATATCCTTGCTGAGGAACCATTCTACTCGATCTTAATGAACTCATACCTAAACTTTAGCCCCAGAACTCTGAAAAAGAACTCATCCGCCACAGGTTCACAGTTCTTCATTTGTGACAGTCTAATATGCAGGCGCCGTAGTCGTGGACTGCATCTCACCAGGGCCTCTAAGGATGCAAGTTTGTAATCTGCATTGAGCGGCGACCTTATCGTCACCCATGCCTCCTCCAAACATGGAATTACACATGCAGGTGATAACTGTTCATCCAAGACAAGAGAATACATGACTTTAGTTTAATGCGCCACTTCTAGGTCCAATAAAAGACATGTCAACACCTACTTTCGTTCACTGAGTGTCTTACTTCGATTCAAGTACTGATCTTATTCGCAAGCACCGACATTTCTTAGCTAACAGTTTGATATGCGAGTGACACAAACACAATCTCAACATGATACCTGCTTGAGACTGTTCCTATTGGCGACCGCAGCGAACATTGCTCCTTGAGCTTCGAAACTCCGAAGTTTAGGGTGACTTTTGAAGAAGTCTACAAAGTCTATCTCCGGAAAGGGCTCCAACTTATCAGCATCGCCGCAAAATTCTACTCTCATAGACAGCTCCCTGAGCTCAGTTGCAGACTGTAGCACAGTATGAATAGCTTCCCAGTGCCAATGAACTCCTCGGAGCGAGAGTGACTGCAACTCTGGGAGCCTTCCCACGTCCAATTTCTTCACTTTGCCTGTTCGGAGAAAGAATGCTCAGTATCAGAAGACACGACACGGACAAACATGATCGGGATGGTCGATCCACGTCGCAATGTGACAAAATTCTAGCTACGGTATATTTAACAGACTCCAACGGCAGGTACCTACAAATTCTTGGCACAACTAACAATTCAAGCTTCGTTCGCATTTCAGCTTATCTAATGATCTTCACGTGACATCACGACAGGGACATGGGAGAATTCCCCATTGTCGGCAAAGCTGGAGACCAACGTCACATGGTAGGCTAACACATACTGTAGATGAGCTTTTGGTCAAAATCCTCTATATCAAACCTTGTCAATAGCAGGTTAAAGAATCTAGGCTTTAGCCATTTTAGCATGTAGCTGAACACCCAACGATGCGTGAGGTATGAAGGATGACATGAAATAGGGTGACTATCAGTACCAAATGATCTCAGCTTTCTGGACCAATTTCTGCAGCCTGCTGACATATGCTCAATCGGTACAACCTGAAATTTGTGTACTGGTTACTTTGGTCATTACGTCGGAAATACCTGAGTTGTTTGCAACGCAAAGGTGATTCAGACGGTGATTGCCCTTTATACGTAGCCATGATGCTCCTTGAACTTCGAAAGTCTGGAGCTTGGGAGCAATTATTGATATAATACAATCACCTGCTCCGTACAAGTCCAATCTACAATTCGTCAACCGCTCTAGCTCTATGCAGGCGACTCTTATCCCTTCGCATCCGAGCAAGGTGAAGTTTGTCAAGTAGGGGCAGGCATGAAGTATACCACACAGTGCCGAATCACGTAATCGTGCTCCAACTATTTCTAGTGTATGAAGATTATGGAAGCACCGCCACTCCGCTGGAGCATGGGTTAAGAGTACTCCCCACAGCCGCAGAGTGTGTAACTGTGTAGATAAGGCAACACAGTCCAATTTACTCATGCTACTGTTTCCCATCCTTTTTTCACCCAAATCATCAACGCGAAGCTCGAGAATCTTCAATGTTCCTTTGGTATGCTTCAGCCAAGCGAGCAGACTCACATTCGAAAAAGGGCAGTACACAATCAGCTCCTGCAGACCAGTCATACTCAACACCATTCGAGTAACGATCAAATCCGGCAATATGCCCTGCTCGTCACCGACGTTCCGAGCAAAATAGAGACTCCGAACCTGCGTCATCGCCTCTCTCCATTTCTTCGAAACACAGGAACATGATGCGACATCTCTCGCGCTTCTCACAAACCCCAAAATGTGTCCTTGAATGGCGTCTGGTAGCACTTCCATACCTTCTGTGGCGTAGTCCATGGTCCCCTCGGAAAAGGCGACCTTATAATCTCAAATGTTTTTGAAATCGGCTCACGGCCTACTTATGGACTGTGAATGTCCTGGAATTCAGATTCTCTTCCAAGAACCCTGCCAACTATAACATCGCAAGGACCGAAGAAAGCTCAGCCGAAACAGGTATACTTCTCACAGCGGAAGAATCCGCCTTTGAAAATCGCAAGAAAAGGAATCACTCTGTCGTCCGACGGGCGGGAGATTTCTATTGCGCATAGCATTTCAAGAGGAAGAAATGTCTTGAAATCGCCAAACAGGGAGCATCGCTGGTCTCTAGGCACACTAAGCTGATGAGAATCTCCAAAGATTCCAATTCAAATTAAACATTTAAGGCGGAAAGCGACTCGGAGGTCCCTGTTTTGCTGCTCTTCTGCTCAGAGAAACCACGAATTTAAAACGCAAGAATGCCACCGAGATTCAGAGCACAAGTTCAAAGTCATGGACCCATAAAGAGACAGCAGAGATTTTCGTGAGGACAAGCGGTCTCGAGGGCAGGACATCGTCAAACACTCGTCTCAGACAACAACGACATGACCCGGCCGGTGGGCGTGTCCATCCATAAGGACACGTCCAAGTTGGAAAGAATTCCGATCAGCATACAACGGCCAAAGGTTCCATGAGCCGACAAGCTCAGCGGAAGCTAGAAGCGCAGAATGGACGCCTCCTTTGATGCTACTTTTCGCCAAGCGTCGCGCTGCTTTCAGCACGGAGTCGCGTCTCCCTCAACAAGCTGATTTTCCAAGCCCAGCCTGAATGCCGCCTCTCGCTCCACATCTGATCAAATCTTTCTTCAGTAAGTCGTCGTCGTCGTAAGGCGGCCGCAGGTTTGTGGGCGAGCGAGCGAGCGAGCACCTGTCGGACGAATCACGCACAGCAGATCGAATGTGCGTGCGATCGAGAGCGAGGAAATCGTGCGACACCTTCTGCCTCGTTACGGCCCCGGCTCCTTTTCAACCCACGGACAGAGCCTGCCATAATCCCCGCGCTCTCCCTCCACTTTTGAATCTTCGCTTCCTCTCGCGCATTCTTGGCCTTTGGCGGCACCTGCTCGCGGCACCTTCGTCAATTCGATTCAACCCCGGCGCCCGGGATCGAAGCTCGGCATCTGGCACCCGGTCCCTGACTCCAAGATTTTCTCCCGGGCCACGGGTCCCGCCCACGCTCCTCTTCAGTTCACGTGCTGATTGGAGCAGCATATGAACAGCGCGGGCCGCTGCTTCGTGAACCTTTGCGCTCAGTTCCTCGTCGGATCTCTTCTCAAACCATCGTGGCATTCATAAAATATCAATCCAAATACAACATTTAATGTACACTAAGACCACTTTTAATTCCTTTTGCTGTGAGTTTTAAATGCATGTATGTAACTCTATTTTCTGCTGATGTTTATGGTTCCATGAATTGGTGATGATTCCCAAATTTCTCTTTCTTTCACAATTGAACGCTTGTAGGGACTTTTTAAATTCTAATTTAAACATGAACGAATTTGCATTTAAACCCTTCTAAAATTTTCATCCACATTACTATGTTATTTTTTTTATTCTATCCATCAGAGGTGTGATTTAAACTACATCAAGAAGTCCAAATTCTTGAAATCAAAATTGTAAAACTTGTAAATTCTTCCATTATAATGTAGTGGTGGAGTCCAGCCATCCCATTAACAGTTTTGCATTTAAAGTGATCAAACCTCTTATTCCATGGAGATGTGTTCGTATATTTTATGTTGCACAATACTCTCACAATGCATTCTGTGTTACAACGTGAGAATTTCCAGTTTCAATCGCGTTTACTATGCTTTGACTAGTGCCCTCACAAGCAAGCATATCACACTTTGTTCTCGCATTGCGCTTAACATAGTGGCCAAAAAAGTCTTTAATCAATTTGTAAGTTTCTCACGTGTTCTCACCTTCTAAACCAATGATTAGTCCTAATTTATATGTGAAAAGCCAACAACCAAGTTTCCTAATCACCACCATGATAAACATCCAGCCATAACGTAATCATTATGGTTGAAACATATTTTCATACTTTTGTATTCGAGAACTCTGTCAATTGATGATTTCTGAAGCAACGGTGAGATTCTGAGATCGTTGGTGAGATTTTCATGTAGTCTTACATTTATATTATATGTATGTCAATATTACATAAATAATACAAATATTTTGAGATTCCAAATTAACCTGAGCTAACGCAAAGACGGGCCATAGACAGTGAGTATTTGGGCTCATATCTATAAATGGTTTTAAGTTACATTTATAACTAAATATGACAACTTAACTGACTGGACAAATTATTATTTTAAAAATTATGTAGAAACCAGAGTCATGCAATGAATACCCAATATTCACCCATATCCATGGAACAATGGGTGTATAATGGCTATGGGCTTGGATCAATGGGTGATTAATGTATGTGTATAAGATAACCTGTATGTTAAAACAAGGGAGTTAAATTACTGAGCTCTCGGATTGTGTCACGATAATAGCTAATCAACACATTGTGTTGATTAGCTATTACTTGTCATAAACCTACCAACAAGATTAATTAATACGATGAACACAACAACTTTTTGTAAACACATGCTTTACTGAAAACCAAATCAGATTGTGTTCTACATAAGCTTTCTAGTATATTCAACTTAATATTTAGATTTTCATTTGCACATCATTTTTTTAAAAACATTTCAAGTGTTCCGTAGTAGTTTTATTTTGGTGATGATCGGGATAGTTATGAGTTGAATGGGTAATGGGTATGGATAATATGACATGGGTGGATAATGATTGTGTACAGTTGATCCAAACGTAGCTATGGGTTGGGCACAGTTGTCAAACCTAATGCATGACTCTGATAGATACATTAAATTTCATATTATTAAATTTTGGTACTTATCATTGATTAAAAATCAGCTTTATCACATTATATTTGGTAGTGATGAATTTCATTGCAAGTTTTTTATCAATAAATGTTAGACACAAAGAAACTAAAACAAAAGATACAACTTTGCATTTTAACATTACTAATGTGAGGCAAAAGCTCTTACCATAAATATCATTTGAATAAACGTTCCAAATTAACTCATGAGTTTAGCCATAGCTTTGGAAGAGAAGCTTTGAACTACAAGATATAAATTAAATAAATGTCGAGGTAATTTCCAGTGATTGGGTACCAATAGCAGCCATGAATGATTGTATAGATAAAAATCTATATATCACAAGAAAGTATCTTATGATATATAAATTTATACACATTTCATTTGAAATTTACATATGTCACTACCAACAGTATTGATACATATGAAAAGAAAATTGTAAAATGTCATCGTTAATGTGAGTATATCAGATCATCTGATATTTTTTATACCAATAAAGTAACTACGTATGAATATAAATTAATTATCAAATTATCATGATGTAAAGATATATATTTACAATACTTTTCAGAATTCACATGCTTCTACAAATGTTTTATAAGAATATATGTATAGAGTTATTTAACTTTCAAACTAATACATTTCCAACCAAAATATGAATATTAATATAATACAAAGTTTAATTAAATCTTATAATTCCAACGTATATAAATCTGAAATGTTTGTTTCTTTTTCAATCATTAAAATAAATATTTATACTTTTTGTTGTCCTTTTAAGCAAAATTATTCAATATGATGTATTTTTGTTTATATACAACATTGAAAATATGAATTTAAAGTATAGAAAATTGTTCAAGAAGTATTCAATTCTAAAATTTATAGATATTATAAAATCAAAGATTGTGAAGATAAAAAAATAAAATATAAGCATTATATGTTGGATGTTGTATTTTGAGTTTACACTCAAAATATAATATGAAAAATATGACAACAATGCAAAATCAAATTTTTAGGTGAAAATGATGTCTATTAAAAAACACAAATTACAAAAAAATAAGAGATATCCCAAAATTTAACTAAAATTTGATATTTTTTAGAATTTAAAGTCAAAAGGCAAGAAAAAACTTTGTTTCAATCCAAACGTCATGAAAGAATTCTAACAATAGAGTGAATCATTATTTCTTATATGCAGAAATGAAATATGACATCATTATGATATATTTAAAATTTGACATACTACATGTTGATATGAGCTATAAGTAGAAAAAAAAAACGGAAAAAATTTTGTTTATTGTTGTTTAGTACAATTGTTGACTAGATTAGCACTTTGAATCTTACAGGATTTTCAAGCGATGAATATTCCCTTTGGCATAGCATAATGTAATTAAAAAATGACTTTCAGCCGATAAATACTCCACTTGGCATAATTTGATTCTCCGTAGATTTTAACAATTTTGATTCAAGTCATATGCGTCATAAAGAAAAAATATATTATATATTTCAAATGTAATGTTTAATTCTTATACCTGTCTTTCTACTAATAAAGCAAGAAAGCTTTGCAGGTTTAAAAAACAAAAATAATTGTCTGTAATCTCAAATACGAGAGCACTACCTCCGTATATTATAGATTTTTTGTATATTTTTATGACAATTCCAGGTTTATTTTCTTTCCAAACTTCACAAGCAGCAGCTAACTTCTAACACACAGTTTACAACCTTCACGAATAACTTCGTTTCTCTCACTTGCAATATAAGGAGATTCAATAAGTGCTTGTACACAAGCTTCTAACAAAACTCAGTTAGCAACTGCAACTGGTGCGTTGACCGATGGTGACCTAAAGGTCCACCGTCAAATTGTAAAATGCAAATGCCAAACAAAGATCCCACCACATTCTACAAGTAGCTCACTAATTAAAGAAAACCGTGTTGTGTGAAATCAATACAAGGACTTATATCTTCTTCAACCTGAGAAAATATACTCCAAAACATTAGTTCAAACCACAAACCAGCTCAATTGAAATGTATACTAAGATAATTCCAGTCATAAATAAAATATGATGAATATGTTGGATCAACAAAATGTTGTCAAGTTTAAGATCTGGATGTTGATTATTTCAATTGAATGATAATCAAAAGAGTTGTCATCATAATCTATATAAGGTAACAAATTTTTGAGTGAATTATCTATTTAAAAAACGACGTTGTTATGTGATCGCACATCACATAATACTATAAATGTTGTAATACTATAAACCCTTAACATGCAATAAATATTATATATGTTGTGCAATAATTTGATAGTGTTCACTTATTTTGATTATTATGCAACTCAAATGATACGAAAAGTTGTGTTTTTTCATATTAACTAACTATTTAAATCTGTTATTCATTGCGTTTGTAAAAAAAAATGGGCAAAAATATAAAACATACACTATTCATATATATTTAAAAACAAATAAATAATATTTTGTGTATAAATTTAATATAAAATAGAAGAATTTGCAAACATGTTTATTCATATTTATATTTTTCAAGGGAAGTATGTCTTCATATTGAAGATGCTATATATGATATATCATAGATTAGAAAATATATCCATGATTGAATAATTAATGACATTATTTTTATCATGAACAATTATATCAAGTTACGTAGATTGAAAATTTGATATCAATTTTCATGATAACGTATAAAATTATAAAATTTCAATTAAGAAGATGCATATTTAGTTCATCAAGCATACTGATGTTAAGTAATTTTTCAAAATGATGAGCTAACACCTCAAAAGTGTTGAATATGTGTTGTTGTATGTTTTTGCACAAATATTGATTATTTGTACAAATATATTGATCAAAACAATAAGCTATAAGATAATATAAATTTAAAATTTTCAAAATTTTCAAACTATTTCAAAAATATAAACAAAATATAATTATCAAATTATTAGAAATTCATTTGAATCTTTTGATATAGATTAGTTTAAGTTCAATTATCAAAGCTAGTCAAACTTTCATCATGCAAGAAATATAGTAAAATTTTGTTGTGAAATTTTAAGCAAATTTTCAAATTTATTATGATTTTGTGTATAAATCTTGTAACGGCAAATCACATATGTATCTACTTATGCGCATTTGATAATAAAACAATTGAACGATTAACTTTACACAATTGATACAAGAGCACAAAAACAATGATGAAGA